ATGCAAAAATTAACGTCACAACCCATAACGAGCCGCTGAATTTGTACACAATATTCATTGGGTATCCAGGCACAGGTAAGATACTAGTTGCCATAATTTTATTTCTGCCTAACATTTACAGAAAAAGGTTGTCCAAACAAATCAGCAAACGGTAAACCACAAATTTACAAATTCTATCAACTCCAAAGAAGAGAAAAAAAGGATGCTTAATACTTTTAACATTACATTAACTACCATTCGGGACTAATTCATATCTTTTATTTTTAGGAAAGTCATCAGCAATCCGTTATGCCGCAAGTGATTTGCTTGATCACAGTGACTTCGCAGAGACAGTAATAAGTAAAACCACGTCTTCTGGACTTGTCAAGATGATCGCTGCAAACAAGAAAGGCATCATACTTTCTCCAGAAGTATTTGATGTRATTAACAAGCTCATGAAGTCAGACGAAGACAACGGGACAGGCGACGTACAGCTACTTTGTAAACTRTTCTCTGGCGAGCCCTCMACCTACCATTTCTCAACGGAAAACACACGCGTTATCGATGCAGATACTCCATTCTGCATACTAGGATCCACACAGTTAACCAATGCTGCCAAACTCATCGCCAGAATGGACCATGGTCATGGCCTGGTTGACAGGATTTTGATCGCCACACTATTAGCCTTTCGTCCGACACTTACACAAATGGAGGAAGCCAAGACGCAAGTTGAAACAGAGCGAGTGAGTGACTTTAATGAACTATCGGAACGGCTTACATCGCTTGACCGAGTTACTATATAAAAGTTTGACGCTAGTGGCCAAACACTACTACGAGAGACCATCGACAACTTCTCTAAAGAAGTCAACGATGATCTTGCGGCGGGACGAGTGCCACCTAAGTCAAAAACTCCTGAACTCATTCCAAGAGTTGCAGCATCTCTCCACGTCCTCAACCATGTCCTAGAAGAGATGCTCGCGACAGACGATGCTACAGAGCCACCATCCACGATTCCCTGTGAGACCTTGCAACGAGGAATAGCTTTTGTAAAACATCTAGAATCGCAAAAACAGATTCTCTGTCAGGTAACACCTTCGTTTTTGATAAATACTATTACAAGTAATAATCAGAAATTTCAATAGTATAATTCTCGGTCTAG